GTGTGGGAGTTGAATGGGAGGAGGGTGATCTCAAAGAGCCTCCTTCAGGAAGTGGAGAGGTGGGGGAGCACCCGAAGGAGAAATGCCAGTAAATGGAGTTACTCCCATGCAGATCATCTTTCTCTATGTTCTGAGCCCATTATTAATGCATACCTCCAAGCCCTGGCTCTACCTGCATGCCCACCACAACACAGAAGGTGCCCAGGGAGGGGGAACCAATGCTAGATCTAAGCCTGTGCCTGGCCAGTGCAGTAGGCACTAGCCTATGTGCGTGTGACTGTGAGCACTGAGGCGTGGCTGGTCTAAGTGGAGATGATCTGTGAGTGTAAAACGCACACCAAGTTTGAACACTGAGTATGGAAAGAAAATGCAGCATATCTCATTAGTCATTTTATGTTGACTATTTTGAAATGATATTTTGAATATACTGAGTTAAATAAGCTGTTACAATTAATTCCACTTATTTAGTTTTACTTTTAATGTGGCTGCTAGAACATAACATTTGAAATTACATATGCAGCACTCATTGCTGGCTCACAGTATAGCTCTGTTGGACAGAGCTGGTCCAATATTGAACAGTGATGCTCCAAACAATGTACCAGCGCATGCTTTTTAAATTCCACTAAAAAGGACAGACAAATATAAATGGCTTCCAGATTAGTACCTATTTTACATTAACGGTGATACAGTTTCACTTTATTAAGCTGGAGAAGAGTTGTAAGATTTGACTTTTTAAAGAAGTTGAGGTTTCAGAATGCATCCTAGAGCTACTTTTTAAAATCCATTATTCATTCTCTAGTTGCTGTCACCAGCAAGATGACTCATGGAGCCCCCCCCTCCCCGCAGGTTAAGATGACAGGCACGGACCAAGCCTAGGTAACTGTAGTCATGTGATTTGTTGTTTTGTTAAAGTCTGTCCTTTTTCATTCAGTCCAGTGGTTCTCTAGGTACATGGTACATCAGAATCACCAGGGAGGTTTGTATTCGAACTCATGCAATGTCCAGCAATCTGCATTGTTCAAATCAGCCTAAGTATGTTCTAATGCTGGAACATACTTCGAATGCCTGAAAAACACTTATGAACCAGCGTTTCTGCTGGGCGCGGTGGCTCATGTCTGTAATCCTAGCACTTTGGGAGGCCAAGGCAGGTGAATGGCTTGACTCCAAGAGTTTGAGACCAGCCTGGGCAACACAGCAAAATCCTATCTACAAAAAATACAAAAATGAGCTGGGCAGGGTGGTGGGCATCTGTAGTTCCAGCTACTTGGAAGGCTGAGGTGGAAGATTCACCTGAGCCAGAAAAGGAGGCTGCAATGAGCCGTGATTGCACCAATGTACTCTAGCCTGCATGATAGAGCTGAGACCCTGTCTCAAAAATCAACCAACCAACCAACCAACCAACCAGTGTTCCCAGCCTTTTTGACCAGAATAATTGCCTCAGGTATTTAGCAAATATGCAAAATCATTCTCAGACAATGCAGAAATGCAGACTCAGACTCAAAAACTCCAAGAGAGGGGCTTAAAAATTGGGGGAGATGTTATCGCAAACCAGCAGTTCTCAAACCTGGGCATGCATTAGATTGCCTGGGGGCTTTGTAGTCCGGACGCCCAGACCAGGTCCAAGTCCAATCACATCAGACTTTCATAGGGTGGGACCCAGACATCTGTGTTCTTTAAAGTTCCTCCAGTGGCTTCAATTTACAGCCAAGGTTGAGAAGCACAGGTTTGGTCAGTAGCAAATTAACCCGCCTCCGTTCTACTTTTACGAAGCAAAATAGGTCATTTGCTTCTGCTTAGTACCCCCAAGCGCCCAGAATAAAACGTCTAAGCACAAAGGCCATCGTATGTTATATCCTAAACTGTTATTACCTTTTTCTAATCTGAGAAAATTTTCTTCCAGATCCTGTTCACCACTCCTGCAGGCTGGCGGTTGACTTTCTGTACAGCTGTTAGTTGCAGCACAGGTGTTAAATATTTCATTAACAATTTCTGCTGCAACTCTGAGTAGCCCCTCCCCAAACAGCTCCTCAGCTCACTGCAGAAGCCACAAGTCCTGCAGCTGCTCTCAGAACGCTCTTGATGGCACTATGTTTTTTTTAAAGGGAGCAACACCTGCTGCAGTTGCTTCCCACCTGGGCAACTCCCCTTCCTCTGAAAGGGTAATTATCTGATGTCTGAGGTGTTTTAAAAGGGCCCATGATCTTATTCCGTCTGCATCATTTGGAGAGATAAATTTAAATGGAGATTAAAAAACAAATATAGATTTGTCTTCACGACTGAAATTCTTTCCAATTTGCCCCACTGGATCTTATACAAACTTTACAGCAATTGTCATATCGAATGTTAATGATTTAATGTATGCCTCTGTCAGAGATCAGAGCACAATACCCCAAAATACGGCATCTTGGCAACTGAAGACACCTCAGAAGGAGGAAGGCCACTCTGACTTTCTCCCCTGAAGCATGATCATAAAGGAATTCTCTGACCTACCACCCCTAAAAATAGGTCATGAGACCCTGATTCCAGAGGGATTCCAGACCTGCAACCAGAGACCAAGAAGAATCTGAACAGAGCCTTGCTAAATTCCCCTGTTGATTACCTTTAGGTCGTACTCCTTTTTGTCCAGTTATGATTCTACCTCAAACCTCGGCATAAAAATACAGTTTTCCCTGGGGGTCTTTGAGTTCTCATTTCTGAAGCCTCCCGTGTCATGTAAAACTTTGGTGAAATAAATGTGTTACACTTTTCTCTTGTTAATCTGTCTTTTGTTATAGGAGTGTCAGCTGTAAACCTTTTAACAAGTGAGGAGAAGCTATTCCTTCTTCTACCCTATGCGTGGATGTCTCCCATTCAGACGATAAACTTCCTAAGGTCAGTGTGTCCTACTCGTGTCTGTTTCCAAAGTATCTAATAGAATGCCTGGCACATAGATAGCTCTTCGTAAATGTTGAAATGAACTTAATACGGAAGCGAGCTGCTATGCTCTGGGCTTCTGCCATTATCTGCATCTGGAATCGCTGGTCGTCAGTAAGCTAAAGTGGCCATAGGGCAGAGTTCTGGCCGCTGAGGTATGTGGCAGAAGTCCTCTGGGTAGGCCTTCCAGGAGAGTTTTTGTTTTCCTGCCAAAAAAGGGACAGATCGGGCCTGTCCACTCTACCCTGTATCCCTCCCTGCCTGCTTCTTCCTTCTTTCTGCATGGAACTCAGAGGTAAAGCCTGGAGGTGCAGCAGCCATCTTGCAATCATGAGGTGAGAAACAGAGGGTAGTGCCAACAAGCAAGCTCTGGATAGAAAAGTAGAAATGTAGGAAAGGCCCCGGCTCCTGATGGCAGCAGCCACACCAGGGCTGAGCTTCCTGCCTGCCTGCCTCTAGGCTTCTTCTTAGAGAAGAAAAAAGTTCCCATGGCCACCACCGTGGTTAAGTTCTGTTATCTGCAGACAAACACATTCCTAACTAGTATGAGAAGTATGTTATTAAGAAGTATGCATTTCAAGCACCTAGTATTGCTCTTAACACATAGTAGATGCCCATTAAATGTTTGCATATTCATGCAAATGTTAACATGAATGAATTCTGAAGGAGTTAATGAATAAATGGGTGATTTTCTTTTTTTACACAGAAGGGTCATCTTCTAATAAAAACGGAGTATTCCCTTACTTTAAGTTGTATCGAGTAATTTTATAACAGCTTTGCGTCAGAGTCTGTAGACTATATATATGCGTCCTGGTATTCCCAAGGCTCATTTCCTCCTTTTAGAAAAAGTAGTCCAATTGAAGCTGCAAATCATGCAGCAAACAGTGGAGACAGCCTCCTGGTGTTCCGTTCCCCAAGTGTCATATTTCAAGTGTTCTCTTCTCTGCAAAGCAGGGTTGGCAGGAGTGTTTCCTGCTCCAAGGTTAGTCGAATGGGATTCGCTTCTTTTTTTTTTTTTCCTCCAACCTGGGCTGCTCAGCTGCAGTGTGTGCACAGAGCATGTTAGTGGGCAGAGCCAGGAGCTGAGGCGTCCATGCCCAGGGACCAACTAAGAGGCTTCACCTGAGAATTGGTGGTTACAGTTGCCCCACTGGTAGCTACATTAAGAGAACTAATTAAGAAGGGAGAGAAGAGATACCCACTGTCTCAGACCGAACCATGAGGCAATTCCCCAGGACCCAATCTCCTGTTCTACAACCTAGAATTCTGAAGACTCTTTATTTTTTTATTTCTATTTTTAGAGACAGGGTCTTGTCTATTGCCCAGGCTGGAGTGTAGTGGCATGATCACAGCTCACTGCAGTCTCAAACTCCTAGGCTCAAGCGATCCCTCCACCTCAGCCTCCCAATTAGCTAGAATTACAGGCATGCACCACCATGCCCAGCTATTTTTTTATTTTTTGTAGGGATGAGGTCTCACTATGTTGCCCAGGCTGGTCTCAAGCTCCTGGGCTCAAGCCATCCTCCCCTCTTGGGATTACAGGCATCAGCTGTCGCATCTGGCCTCTGTTTTAATTTTTTCAACTTGACTCTAAACAGCTTGACTTCATCTCTTGAGAAAGGTATGTAAATACTTGGATTTGGGATGTACATTTTATGCTTTAAAATACTAGAGTTGGTTTTTATCAGCTTAGATTTTTAAACTATTGAGCAGTTTGACATAGCAGGCGCTGTGCTCAGCGGTTTTACATGCGTTGTCGACGTCATACTCACAGCTTCTCTACTGTGGCGGGTGCTAGTATCTTCTTGGTTTACAGATGAAGAAACTGAAGCTTACAGAGGTAACCAATTTGTCCCAGATCACACAGAGCCACACCTCCACTCTAGAATGTCTGGTCCCAGAGCCCCTTCATTCATTCCAACCATCCGGCATACACTGTGTTTGGAAGTGGACAGGATATTCCCCCGATGGCCGCGGCCCACACCCACCCTGCCATGGCCCAAACCCACCCCACCAAGACTCAGGACAGCAGGCTCCTGTGTCTAAGCCAACACAGACAAGCACCTCTTCCATCTAAGGACACTTACACTGAGGGGAATGTTTTGGCCTGTGTCTTCCGGATCGAAGGCCTCAACCTTGTAAATGAATCCAGGGTTTGCTCCTTCTACTATGTAGAGTTGTAGACCTATACCAGTGTCCAAAGTGGAATAAGAAACATCTTATTAGGTAAAGCAAAAATGGGGAATTCCAAAATCAGGGCAGCTGTACGTAACCAAAGGAACCAAGTGTGTTGGCATCCTGAGACAAAGGACGCAATAAAAAAAGCCATGAGCAAGGTCACTGGCCAACTTTCCTAAGTGGGTCCATTTAGGGGAATTCATAAAGTGCTAGTTGGCCAAGCTGTTATCAAGTCTTCGTTCATGTCCTTTGTTGAGAGGTGCCCCAGGGTAATGCTGTTTAAGGTGGGGAAGGAGGAGATAGGGCAGAGAGTTGGGAAGTAAACCCAGCTAGGAACCTCCAGCACGAGGATCCCTATGTGCTGGATCCACTTTAATGTGCAAATCCGTCCTCAGCTCTGCTAAGCTACCCCTCGAAGGACACTTGGCAACTCCGCAGAAATGAGCTACTGAAATGAGGGACCTTACGGCAGAACAGAGAAGAGATAGAATAATTAGGGGAGGGCTACAGAGGCTGAAGGGAGGAACCAAAAATTGATTTCATCTGTTTCAGAGTTTTTCCTGGTGAAGGAGGAGGATGGAGGAGCTGGCAATAGCAGCACTGACCAAGGGCCACGGAGCTTTCAACCAGGCATTTTTTTTTCTCAGTGATGACTGACAATAAGAAAAGTAACAGGCCAGGCGCAGTGGCTCACACCTGTAATCCCAGCACTTTAGGAGGCCGAGGCAGGCGGATCACAAGGTCAGGAGTCCAAGACCAGTCTGGCCAACATAGTGAAACCCTGTTTCTACTAAAAACTACAACAAAATTAGCCAGGCACTGTGGCAGGCGCCTGTAATCCCAGCTACTCGGGCACCTGAGGCAGAAGAATCTCTTGAACCAGGGAGGTGGATGTTGCAGTGAGCTGAGATAGTGCCATTGCACTCCAGCCTGGGACTAGTGAGACTCCATCGCAAAAAGAGAAAAAAGAGAAGTAACTCACTCTTGAGTTGTTACTGAGGACTTAATATACATTTTCTATTTTCATCTTCATAACAGTTCTATTAATAGAAAGCACGCATTGTATTTATTCTTTTAATGTAATTCTGCTTTTGGAATGAGAACTCCGAGACTCAGGGAAGTGATGAAGTTGTCCTAGCTAGTAAGTGATATAATCAAAATTCAAATCCAGATGCCTTACATCTGAGCTTCAGCTTTGATTCACTTTTTATCACTCTCATGCTTCATTCAAAAAAATATCTATTGAGCACTATGTCCAAAAACTGATCTATACACTGGGAAAACAGCAGCTGGCAAAACAGAACCTCACTCTCATGCAACTTCCATTTCCATGGAAAGATATGGATAGCAACATAATTGAGTAAAACCTGTGTATACTCGTGAGAAACATGAGAACAATTGAGGGAGGAAGTGCGAGTTGGGTTATAATTTTAATACAGTGGCTATGAAAGGTTCACTGTGGCGGGGAAGGGCATGACACTTGTCAAGATTTTTATTTTTTGAGATAGGATCTCGCTTTGTCAACCAGGTTGGAGTGCAGTGGCACAAACACAGCTCACTGCAGCCTCAGCCTTCCAGGTTCAAGTGATCCTCCCTCCTCTCCCCCTGAGTAGTTGGAACTACAGGTGCCTGCCACCACACCTGGCTAATTTTTGTATTTTTTGTAGAGATAGGGTTTTGCCCTGCTGCCCAAGCTGGCCTTGAACTCCTGATCTTAAGCAATACTCCCACCTTGGCCTCCCAAAGTGCTGTGATTACAGGTATGAGCCACTGCACCTGGCCTAAAAGAAATGAGGAAGAGCCAGGAGATAGGAGGGGATGCAGAGGAATCAACAAATGCAAAATGCTGAGGTAGGGCCACGCCTGAGGTGCACAGATCAGTAAGGGGTCCAGAGGCTGGGTCAGAGGGACTGAGCGGGGAAAGGGGGAAAGGAGGGGTGGGAGGGTAAGGAATGTAAGCAGCTTGATAGATTTAATGGGCTCTTAAGGAGACTCCCTCTGAGTGAGATGGGAAGTTCTTGCAGGGTTTTAAGCAGAGGACTGCCTTAACTGACGTTTTAATAGGATCCCTCTGGCTGCTGTTTGGAAAACAGACTGCAGGGGGGCCAGAAGGCCAGCTGCCAGCCATTGCAACAATCTAGGTGAGATGGGATGAGTGGTTTGGACCATGGTTGTAGTGGTGCAGACACTAGAGAGGGGCCGGGTTCTGGGTAGATTTAGAAGCTGGCAAGATTTCCTAATGGATTTCACGTCAAGTGTAAAAGAGAGGAGTCAAGGATGACTCAAGGTTTGGTCCAAGCCACAAGAACGATGGAGTTGCTGCTAACCAAAACGAAAACAACATGGGAGAAGCAGATTCCAGTGGGCGCGGAGGGTGGAGAGGAAGCCAGGACTTTGATTCAGAAGCACGTTAATTTGCGATGTCTGTTAAACATCCATGTGGAGATGCTGGGTGGGAAAGGTGGATATTTGTGTTAGGACTGCCACAGCTCAGGGCAGCACCTGGACTGAAATGACAGGGATGAAAGTGGTCAGTATCAGGATAGTGCTCAAAACCAAGAGCTTGGGGGAGATCCTATAAGATGTTAGTTACTGTGTGCTCTGGTCCTTTACATTGTCCCTATTCTGTAGCAGACACATACTGCCCTCAAGGAGTCAGAGTACATGGGGAGAATGAACAAGCCACCAATGGCCACAGTGCACAGGAATGGCCTGGGGTGGCTCAGCCAGATTCCTCCACAGTGATCCACTTGAGGTCCCCGAGCTCCAGTTTCCTCCCAGGGCCTGGGAGGGGACCAAGAGAAACCATGCCTGTTAAGGGCTCTGCATACTGCTGGACATTATCACTGGGAGTGTTGAGCTGGAGGACATTTCATTTATTCCCAGCTCATTAAGCAGCTGCCTTTTCCAACGAAACAGCTGCTTGTTTATTTACTTTTTATGTTTCTCTCTGTCCCCCAGGGCCCTCCCTGATGCCACCGTCTGGGCTGCAGTGCACATCCTGGTGTATCCTACCTTCCGCCAAGTTGCCTTGAAACTGAGGCGGCTCGTTCACATCTGTTACCTGAACAGTCAAGATTTGCAGGTCTGTGACACCAACCTCATCCTTCACATAAATATGCAAATCAAATATGTTTGGTCCTGTTTCAAAATCTAGTTGTTCCATCCCAGTGGTGACAACCTAAAACAAAATGCGAAATTCTTAGTCACCATGCAGAAAAGGATCCGTTTTGTAAGCATACATTTTGCAAAGGGATATTCCTAGGTGGGAAGCATCTGGCATCCCAGAAACCAGCATTCATTCACTGTCAGAGGAACCAGTTGTTTTGCCTGAGTCCTTCCAACATAAGCCCTGTGACACTTCACCAAAGGGACTCCTGCATGTGATGCTGCATTTCCAAGAAAAGAAAAATATTCAGGAGACATTCTGATGTAATTGACTGGGGACAGAAAGCCTGAGAATGAAAAACAAAACACAAACAAAAAACCCTCCACTACTTGGGGGTAGGTTCCTATAAAAATCCTTTAACTACCCTGAATGTCGCTGGATTTCCTCATTGTTAAGAAAGAATGCTGCGCTTTCCTGGGATTCCGTTAAGTTCTATCTTGACTCATCACTTCATTCTAATTTTCCCAAAGCCACATCCAAAAATAAACAAGAGACGAAGGATACATCTGCATAAGTAATGACGTTTACTTAATCATCAGGCTGCTCACTTTCTGCCTTTCCAAACAGTCTTCCATTGTCAGGAGCTTTTGTTGTCTGCACTGTCAGTATTTTGGAGATGTGGGAGGGATGCCAGGAACCAAGGCCAGAGAGACAGCACCAGAATCTAGAGCTGTTGCCAGCAGGAACACTGGTGGTCCACGTTGGGAGGGTCCCACTAAAGCCAACTAAAGACCGGCCTGTGACTGCTCATACCTATAGGCACAGACCCCTGCCAACTTGCACCTTGAACTCTCAGAAGGCTTGGAGCCCTTTGGGACATCAAGGACTGAATTCCATGTATGTCCTTACTTATGCCAATAGAACCTTTTGGTTATTAATATGACTGGGGCCAGGTGATGAGACACTCAGCATCTTACAGTGAAGGCAGAACTTGGCTCCAACTCCATTTCTACCACTGAACTTCTGGGTGGCCTTGGGGAAATCACCTTTCCTTTCCCTGATTGTGTTTCCATGTGATTGTAACTAGGGAAATAATCATTGCATTAGTTAAACAAATGAAGAGTGATACAAGGTGTTAAACAGCTAGATGAAGGTACCATGGAAAATGAAGGGGAAAGTTCAGTGTGAGCTGTGTTTAGTGGGGGAAGGCTCCATGGAGAGTTGGTAGGTATTGTGTTGGATGCTTCAGGTTCTGGGTTAGAGGAGAACAGGGCCACAGATGTGAATGAGTACTTGTGAAGGGAGAGGGTATGGAGGGTGGTTGAGGCGGGAAAAGAGGTATTTTTATGTCTACTGGTGAACAGAGGCAGCCTGGGAGCCACCTAAGTGGAGATGAACTGGTCTTTTTGAGAATCACATGGTAGTGAGGGACAGCACATGGGTCAAACACAGATGCTGGAGCTGGACTGACGGGCTTCAAAGCCCAGCCTTCCCATTGCTTAACCTTTCTGTGTCTCAGTTCTCCCATCTGTAAAATGGGGATAATAATAATACTTTAGGGGTTGCCAGGAGGATTCAGTGAGCTAATCTATGGGAAGTACTTAGAAGACCGTCTGGCACTGAGCAAACACTCTGCGAATGGTGACTTTTCTAATCACTGGGTAGTCAAAAACTGTTCAAGGAATGTATGTTCACCAGAGCAGGTGGACTTCTGTTGAGATGGTCTGCTCTCGATTTACACCCTGGCTTCCTGCTAAGCCTGGAACCTGCTCCTGCACTCCAAGCTTGGATAGATCCTTGACCTCAGTATTACCTATTGCCAGCCCCTTCTCCTTGGGGAGTAGCTCTTACACCCTAGAGGAAGAAAATAGATCAGCCAAAAAAGGGTCCAAAAATGCTGTATCTTGGAACTGAAAGAATGGGGTTGCTCTCAGCACAGATGAAAAAACTGTTTTGTTGTTGTTGTTACCAGCATTTATGTGCCAGATTTGTTGAGCCATTTTGTGGAGTATTTAATTTAATTGTCACAATGACCATAGTTTGGTAAAACTTCCTCCATTTCATATATAAGGAGATGAACTAGGAGAGGAGGGGAAGGAGCTCTCCTAAGCTCATAGCTGGGAGTGGTGGAGCCTGGATTTGGTTGCGGGCAATCTTGCTAGAGTTTTTAGTGAAAGACAGTAGGTTTTGCTTTAGGCATGTTCAATTGGAGGTTGTTCTGGAGAAGGCTGAGAAGGTCCCCAGTGCTCACAATGGTAGATGGGAAAAGAGGGGAGTCAGGCTCAGAGATGGGCAAATGAAAGAGGGGCAGGTGCTGACCTCCAAAGGGCCTTACAGAGCCCATCTCTCTGCAGCTGGCTGGTAGTCACTCCTCCCTGGCCTCTTGAGCTATGCTTCTGGTGCCGCTCCAGGAGAACACCCTTGACCCATGATTAGCTACAAGTGGCTGAATGAGGATCTGACATCTCTCTTGCTGGGCACTAGCAAACCAGTGCAGCATGAGGGCAATGAACAAGGCTTCTTGGGGCCACCTGATTGCAAATCCCAAGACTGCCACCTCCTAGCAGTGTGAACTTAGGCACGTTGCTCAACCTCTCTATGCCTCAGTTTTCCTGTCTTCAGTGTGCAAAATAACAGTACACCACTTCATAGCATGGTTCTGAGGATTCAATGAATGCGTTCACAAAATGTTTAGGGAAATTCCTGGCATATGATAAGTGCCCCGTAAATGAAATGTTAGCATCCTCCTCATCATTATCATTACTCCTCCTCACCACCCCCTGCCCCGCCAGAAGTCTCAATAGCTGTGTCCCAAAGCAGGAAGGCTTGGCCTGTTGCATGATTTGGAATTTACCCTCAGAAAGTATAAATGAGTCACAAGGCAAAATGGTGACCTAGACTTGTCATCCTCCAGACCGTCAAGGCTGTCCAAGGAGGAGCCAGGTTCTGCCACAGAGATTTTCAGGCCTAGAAGGCTGTAGGAGCAACTCTTGTGAGCAATTCGGGTGGAGAGTAGGATCTTTGTGGAAGGACAGTAGACAACATTGGGTAGTTTTTGGGGAGAAGGAATCAATTCTTAAGAACAGCTTCATGACTCGTAAAACTGTGGCTCATCTTAGCACTAACACAGGGTCCTAGGCAGCTGCAGGGTGTGGTGTGAGGAGGGCACAGGACTAGGACAATACACCAGACGCTTGAGCTACATTAACTGAGGGGCCGAGCAATCTGCCATTTCTAGAGGTTATGACCAAGATGGAATTCTTCCTTAACAGCTGTGCTTGAATCCCATGGAATGTGGGAAGAGCAGATCCCATGAAGTGAGTTGAGAGCTCACCCAAACAGCCATAGACATGCATGGCACTGTGACAGAAAGCCTGGGACTGGGGAATCAGGAGACTGAATGAAGTTCTTATTTCATCTTTCACAGCTGTGTCATTTCAGACACCTCATTTAAATTTGCTGCATCTCTGTTATACCTAAAATGGGAATAAAAGTTTCTAGATAGTGATGATATTAATGTTCGTTGTTGCAATTAAGAGATCAAACTGTGTGCAATGGTGCAGTGCCCGTAGTCTCAGTTACTGGGGAGGCTGAGGCAAGAGGATCACTTGAGCCCAGGACTTCAAGTCCAGCCTGGGCAGCACAGTGAGACCCCATCTCAAAAAAAAAAAAAAAAGAGATCAGGTATGTGAATGTGCCTTGGAGGCCGTATGCAAATTGAAAGGCGCCTGGTCATTATCATCACTAAAGACTGTAGACCATAAATGCTGAGGATGAGAACTCCCAGGTGGAAACAACCCAAATGTCTGTCAATTGATGAATGAAAAACCAAATGTGGAATGTAATATAATTTAGCCATAAAAAGCAATGAAGTAGTGATCCAGGCTACAACATGGGCAACCCTTGAAACTTTATGCTAAGTGAAACAAGTCAGTCATTGAAAGACCACATGCTATAATGATTCCATTCATAGGAAATGCCCAGAATAGGCAAATTCATAAGGACGACATAGATTAGTGGTTGCCAGGGGTTGGGGAAATAAGGGAATAGGCAAGGGACTGCTAATGGGTACACGGTTTTGTTTTGGGGTGATGAAAATATTCTAAAGTTAGATTGTGGTGATGAGTTGCATGGCTGTGAATACATAAAAACCACTGAATTGTACAATTTAAGTGGCTGGATTATATTCTTCTGTGAATTATACTCAATAAAGCTGTTTTTTAAAATGACAGCACTGGCGGGCCAGGCGCGGTGGCTCACACCTGTAATCCCAGCACTTTGGGAGTCCAAGGTGGGTGGATCACGAGGTCAAGAGATCGAGAACATCCTGGTCAATATGGTGAAACCCTATCTCTATTAAAAATATAAAAAAATTAGCTAGGCATGGTGGCACGTGCCTGTAATCCCAGCTACTCAGGAGGCTGAGGCAGGAGAATTGCCTGAACCCAGGAGGCGGAGGTTGCAGTGAGCCGAGATCGCGCCATTGCACTCCAGCCTGGGTAACGAGAGCGAAACTCCATCTCAAAAAAAATAAAAATAAAAAATGAGAGCACTGGAGCCAGGCTGCCTGGCTTCCAATCTCAGCTTAGCTACCAACTAGCTGTACAATCCAGGGCAAATTACATAACCTCTCTGTGCTTCATGTTCCCCATCTGTGAAGAGGAGGTAATAAGATAGACACGATCCTTACGCCTTGGAGATTAGAAAAGCAAACACATGCAAAGCACTGTCAACAGCACCCAACGCACACAACGCACTCTATGAGGGCAAGCAATTTACAAGGCTTACGGGAACTGAGGAGCAGCGGCCACTGTTAAAGATAAGCTGGGTGTCTAGGGAGTCAGTGCACAGGGCAGGTAAGTCACAGAACCAGCATCTGGGACCCAGGAATGTAAACCACATGCTGCAACGTAGACTGAATGTGTGCTCCTCTCCTCCCCGAGGGCTCCCCTGGGGTGATCAGAATACCAGGAGCCTGGGCTCTGGCCTCCAGCCGTGGGTTCTGCAGGTCTGCTACAGGGCCCCAATGTGCACACTTTTTCAAAGCAGGTGACTCTAATGATGAGCTGGGTTTAAGAACACCTAGTGGGAACCCCAGAGAAGCAACCAAGCCTAGGCCAAGCAGGCCTGAGTCCACTGGGTCCCATAAGGACCCCAGAGGAAAGGCAGGTCCAATGGCAGAGTTGATGATGGCAGCAGGAGGTTTCCAGGCCAGTTGAGGAAGGAGGTAGGGGCAGGGAATACTGAAGCATAGGCTGATCCAGACACTGGGACCCTAAAGACACCTTCGAAGGCCTCTATGGTTACCAGTGGTAAGCATGCAAGAAACAGGCTTTTACCCACTTTAGGGAAGTGACAACTTTGGAAAAGATTCAAATGACGAACTAGAAAACAGAGCAGCAGAGGCATGCCTCCTGAATGCCAGTGGTTGAGTCTGAATTATCCAAGAGGAAACATTCACATGGTAGGGCTGGACATGTAGACATATATTTTTATTCAAAGGGTATATAGTTTCCTTATTAAATAAATCTCCTCTTAGATTGTCTCTGAAACAATCAGACTTACAGGAAAGCAGAATCACTAGACACAAGTGCATCAGAGCATGGCTTTTAAGGAGATTAATATCCAAACAGTTCCACCTAAAGAATTTAGATACTGTAGGCTCACCTAACATCTGATGTCATGTGAGGGGTGGAGGCAACAAGAAGCAGCTTTCTGTTTGCAGCACTTTGAGCATAATGTTTATGTGAACTGTGTGGAGTGGAGACGGTCTGAAGGCTACACGGGCATCTTCGCACAGAAGCCCTGGGATGCCTCAAACAGGACTTCTGGGTCTTTAAACCAGAACGGAGGAATCCACCACCGATCTGGAATCCCAGCCACCCTCACGTTCAGGGTCACCTCTTTGCAGACAGCACCCACGTTGGTAAGTTGTTGCTTACCTCAAAGTCAGTGCCTGTCAGCCAATTCACCCTGAAGGCTTCCGTGAGGGGATTCGAGTTGATTATCAGGGGAAATCCTGGGATCACAGGTGACAGTGATGCTGATAATTTCACAGAAAACTTGTGCACCAAAGTCCCAGGTGGAGAATTCTCTGCGACGGTGCCTGTAGCAGGTAAGAGGATTAGGTGTTGCGCCTCTCCCCCTGTGGAGTAAAAAGGATGCAGGATGACATGAACACAAAGCCTTTTGCTGGGAACAGAGACTTAACAGCTTGGTTTGTGGCTTCATTTCGTGGCTCGGGGTGACGATGAGAGCTGGTCACTCCCCAAGAACAAATGATCTTGCCAAGTGCTGGCAATGGATATGTGAGATCTCCTGGGAGCCAAGAAAACAACCACTTCCAAACAACCAAGAAATCTGCTTCTGTCGCTCGGTAAATAAAGCTGCTGCTTTTCTCCTCTCCCTGCTTCCCTTCTCTTTTCTTCCAGCCTTTGGGAGGAGCAGCGAAGGAGAAATGTGACACCTTAGGAGATAGACACCCACCTAAAGGACCTCCCCTGATAACGTCTTCTCTCTTGCCAGGACCCTGTAGCTTACACGAGTTTGTTTTCCTTCTTTGTGTCAGTAATCTAGAGGTCACCTGAGAATTGAGTATGCATGTTCTCTAGAACACCAAAATCGTAGTAAATCTCTCCACGTCCATTAGCAATCTCAAGGACAATTTGTGGTCATTACTGGACTGTGTAGACATCATGCAGAGCATTATCAATACGTCTTGGTTGGCAGATTAACAGCCATTCCACAAAGGAGGAAACAAGAGGCTCGGGGGTGGCATGTGAATTGTCTTGGGCTGCCTTACAGGCAGGGAATTTTATAATTTAAGAGAAAGCACATTTCTTCCAGGAAAGCCTTGGGACCATTCTAAGGTCTCCATGACAGTGCAAGACTTTGCCAGTGCAGAGAAAAGGAACAAGCTGTGTTCTCTCATGAGTCTATAGTAATAGTTACTGTTGTGGGTTGAACAGTGTCCCACCCGGAACTGCAGAATGACCCTATTTGTTTTTGGTTTTGGTTTTTTGAGACAGAGTCTTGCTCTGTTGCACAGGCTGGTGCAATCTCGGCTCACTGCAACCTCTGCCTCCTGGGTTCAAGTGATTCTTATGCCTCAGCCTCCCAAGCAGCTGGAATTAGAGGCACAGGCCACCACACCTGGCTAATTTTTGTATTTTTAATAGAGACAGGGTTTCATCCTGGTGGCCAGGCTCGTCTTGAACTCCTAGCCTCAAGTGATCCACTTGCCTCAGCCTCCAAAAGTGCTGGGATTACAGGTGTGAGCCACCACGCCCAGCCAAGAATGACCTCATTTGAAAATAGAGTCTGGCCGGGCGCGATGGCTCAAGCCTGTAATCCCAGCACTTTGGGAGGCCGAGGCGGGTGGATCACGAGGTCAAGAAATCAAGACCATCCTGGTCAAAATGGTGAAACCTCGTCTCTACTAAAGATACGAAAAATTAGCTACGCATGGTGGCGCGTGCCTGTAATCCCAGCTACTCAGGAGGCTGAGGCAGGAGAATTGCCTGAACCCAGGAGGCGGAGGTTGCGATGAGCCGAGATCGCGCCATTGCACTCCAGCCTGGGTAACAAAAGCGAATCTCTGTCTCAAAAAAAAACGAAAATAGAGTCTTCATGGATGCAATGAGTTGAGAGGCAGTCATACTGGTTGAGAGTGGGTCCTAAATCCAGTGGCCAGTGTCCCCATAAGAAAACAGGACACATACAGCAGACACCAGGACTCCAAGATGGCGTCACTTGTACCAGTGAAGGATAAGAAACTTCTGGAAGTCAAACTAGGGGAGCTGACAAGCTGGATCTTGATGCAAGACTTCAGCCCTCGTGGCATTGCCGAAGTGCTTCGAAGAGGTTACTACCAGTACTGCAGCAAGTACATCAATGTGAAGAAGGGGAGCCTCTCAGGGGTTACCAGGGTGCTGGCAGGCTACGTGCTCTTCAGCTACTCCTTTTCCTACAAGAAGTTCAAGCACAAGCGGCTACGCATGTACCACTGAGGAAGAGGACACACTGCTCTCCCCCGACGACCTTGACCTGAGCCCCTCCATAAGGAACACAGTCTCAATCGTTGTTGAATCCTCTTATATCTTAATGGAAATAAAAGACTGGTAGTGAAATAAAAGACTGGTATGTGGAAAAAAAGTCAGGACACGCACAGAGGGGAAAAGGCCATGATCTAATGGTGGCAGAGACGTGTGATGCCGCTATAAATCTGGGAATGGAGAGCAAACAGCAGAAGCTAGGAGGTGGGCATGGAGCAGACATTCCCTCAGAGCCCCTGCAGAAACCAAGCTGCTAACCCTTTGATTGCGGATTTCTAGTCTGCTGAGCTGTGAGAGAATAAACTTCTGTTGTTTTCAAGGCACCCAATTTGTGGTAGTTTGTTACCGCAGCCCAATGTTACAAAAAAGTGCAAAATGTAAAATCCTGTATTTCATTTACTCCTCAAACACCTCTCCCAGACAGGTATTAATGTCATTTTACAGATGGGGAAACTGAGCTGAAATCCACACAGCAAATAATAAATAACAGATCCAGGATTTACACAGGTCCCTTTTCCCAGCCAGCCTCCCAATCTTGGCCACCATCAGACCCTGAGAACAAAACCCTGAACAAGTAGGAGGCACGGGGGTAGGTAGGGACAGTAGAAAGCTTTGTCCCGCTGAAAGGTATAAATGTTCTAGAAACAAACAAGCCAGGATGTTTTCTTTCAGTTGGTGAGGGGTGGATCAGTGCAGAGGAGTAAATGGAAGTGAAAAAAAATTGAAATATGAAGCACATTCACTGATACAAGCTTTTATAAATCTAAAGTCATCTTATTTAGTTTAGAGGCTAAAATGCATAATGCATAAGTTTTTGTCGCTTGCAGAATTATCAAGTTTTATGGACAAGGACTGTGCAAGGACTCAGAAATATCAAAACAGCTGAAGTTTAGGTTGATGCAAATATGAATAGATTTTTAAAAATCTATTAAAGTTGACTTTAATATTATAGCATTCTTATGGTAAAAACCAGGAGCAAAAGAGTATGGTTGGAGTATTTAAAGACAAAGCTCTCAAAAATAGTTTTTCAGGGCTGGGCGCAGTGGCTCACGCCTGTAATCCCAGCACTTTGGGAGGCCGAGACGGGTGGATCACAAGGTCAAGAGATTGAGACCATCCTGGTCAACATGGTGAAACCCCGTCTCTACTAAAAATACAAAAAATTAGCTGGGCATGATGGCGCATGCCTGTAATCCCAGCTACTCGGGAGGCTGAGGCAGGAGAATTGCCTGAGCCCAGGAGGCGGAGGTTGCGGTGAGCCGAGATCGCGCCATTGCACTCCAGCCTGGGTAACAAGAGCGGAACTCCATCTCAAAAAAAAAAAAAAAAAAAAATAGTTTTTCAAAATGAGAAAAATAATCTACGGCTTTGATATAATAATCTATGGTTGGGTATTCTCCATTCTCTTTTCTCACAGTTGAAAGTCACTAGGGCACCTCCCTGAGCTGTTCATGGGAGTGTTTCCTCACTGTTTAGAAGATAAAGACAACCATACAGGAAATAGAAGATTGGCAATCTGTCTTATGGAACGCCCACCTTCTCACCCATATTCTTCCCTTGCCCCCTCCAGCCCTCTCCAATGACTTGTGCCCCTCCAGGCAACAGACAAAGTTAGAACTTGCTATGTTTTTCTCAATGATAGCCTGAGGTAAGATAGTGCCTAGCCCAAATGAATAGACTAAAATAAGTACCAACCTGCATTTACCAAGCACCTGTTCAGCGGGCACAGCGCTAGCTCCTTGACTCCCTGATGCCCCTCACTCCCAGCACAATCTGCTGACGGAAGTATTGCTGTCACCATTGCACACATCTGAGATCATACACTAAGGGAGTGTCATGGAGGGCCCTGGCTCATGTCATCTGGATCTTGTAGCTACCAGACTACACATACCTACTACTGTCAGTCACTCTATGCCTGTCACATGAGCATGCACATAGGATGCAGCATAGTTATTCTGTGACCCTGGGACACTGCAACAACATGGCTCTGGGAGCTGGGAGGAAATTGACCTTCAATCTGGATGTTAGATCTGGATGATGCAATCTGTAAGAGGCTGTTTTGGGACCAACATGAAGAATTGTGCTAGAGTGTGAGTATGAGCGTGGTATGAGCTCAGGTAGGAGGGGCTTGCTAAGCTCCACTCGGGGCTCTCCACAGCCTCACCCCAAGTGGGGAGATCACTGTGGCTCCCAACCTTAGTGCAGCTCCTTTGGGGAGCTGGGTACTGTGGAGAAGCCACGTTCCTCAAATATTGCTGCTGATAGCTCCTGGTTTTCTTTGATGGGAGTATATCCACTGATTTTCTTGAATTCATCATTAGTGATAATTCCTGGGTCTGAGAGACTAATTCCATGAAACATCCATCCAATCCTAGGCATCTGACTCCAACGACAGCTCCATGCTGTTTCCTAGGTCAATCCAGGAAGGCTCCATGAGAGGGGTGGGGCTTGAGTTGGGCCTTGAAGGAAGCATAGGAGTTACACCACATGAAAGGAAAGAGGATGCTGTATGTTACTTCATTCATTCATTCACTCATACATTCATTTACTTGAGATGGAGTCTCACTCTGTCATCCAGGCTGGAATGCAATGGTGCGATCTCGACTCACTGCAACCTGCACCTTCCAGGTTCAAGCAATTCTCCCACCTCAGCCTCCCAAGTAGCTGGGATTACAGGCACCCGCCATCATGCCCAGCTAATTTTTTACTGTATGTTACTTTATTTGAGATTACTATAGTGATGCCTGCTTCAAGCACCCTGAAGGGGTGCTGATGTGGCTGCCCCACTGGAATCCTCTGTAACACAGGTGTTAGTGTGGAGGGCAATGAGCAGATTCCCAGACTCACAAAAGATAGTGAGAGAGAAACAGTTTGCATCACAGCAGCCCTTCCAAAAATAAGATTTGACCTAAAGGAGTCTATTGTGTGTTTTAAATAAGAAATCTCAAGTATTTCTTGCAAACCTTTGTGATCTGTCCCTTTCACACTTCTAATAAAGTTCTAAATGATAGGGTTTAGTATAAGAAATTGGGTTCATCCTAACCTCACTCTTTCCCCAGTCACAATAAAAGGCACCTCAACTCAAATGATGTGGCCGTAAAAGCCCATGTTTCTGGGGGAATCTGAAACGCTTACTTCAAGTGACACTCTGAACTACGCATGCCCACTTCACATTCACAGGGTACCTGCCCTCTGCTTAGCTGAAAAGTCCAGATAAAAGAGGGCTCAGTATTAGGAAACCCAGGTATTTATTTATCTTATTAGCAGATTGAAGAGGAAAATTAAATGGTCATTTTCATAGATCTTGAAAAAGCATTTCATTTAAAAATCCATTTCTATTTAGAAATTAATATTCTTATATTTTTATTGTATGTTTATTTAGAAATAAATACTCCAATATTCTCATATTAATAAGAATAAAAGCCACCTCCTTAACATGTAACATTCTCTCCCACACCAAAAGTTAACATCATGCTTAATGGGGAACAAGACAGGAATTTATACTCTTGTCATTATTTAAAAATGATCAGAATGTCCAGGCCTGGCCATTAGATAAGAAAAAAATAGGAGCTATAGAAATAGGGGAGGAAGAATATAAATGTTCATTCTTTTCAAACGTGGGAAATTCATGAGAATCACCTGAAAAACGATGCCAAATAATAAGACAATGTGTTAATAGGTTTCCATACCTCATCCAACAGTCAGCTGAAAGATGTAGGGAGGAAGAGATTCCATTTACAAACGTGAAAAAAGAAGAAGTAAAAGAACTAGAAATAACCATAATCAGAATGTGCAAAATCTATATGAAGGAAACCTCAAAATACTCTTAAGGAAAACAAATGAAGACTCAAATAAGTGTCTGGAAACCTGTTCTTGGATTAGGAAGACTCAAGAGGATCACCAACACTCACCAACATTTACTAAGCATTTACTGTGTACTCAGACACTCTTCTAAGTGTTTTACCGTAAAACTCATCAAAGATGTAAATTATCCCTAAATAAATCTGCAAATTTAACATGACTAAATTCTGTACATTATGCATATACTACTACCTATTCAGAAATAACATTTAATTTTAAAAGTGCAATTTTAATAATCCAGGCTGACATTCATAAATCATCCAAGATTCTTGATGGCCTTGAAGGAGGAAGAGGGAATGAAAGGATGGCTAGATTGGTCTTTGGCCCCTCTGTCAGATGGTGTTTGCTTTGTCCAAGAGGAAGACAGCCCCTCAGTAACTCAGTTTCCTCACAGGATCACTTGGCAACCTCAAATTGCCTGGCCAGAATCTCCACAAAGACTGACCTGACATGCACACAAAGCTCTGCCATGAAAATTATTTTCCCAACCTTAGATCTCAGGAGGACTACCAAATGCAGGCCAGTTAACGCAAGAGGGAAAGTGAAGTCTCTACCAACATATGTGAGATTAGGCTCTCTAAGCATCTCTCTTCTCCAGGGCTCCTACCCGGCCCCCCAGGGCTCCCCGGAGCTGCATCACCTCACTCATAATTGCAGCTAAGCCCTCAGTTGAACAAGCCTCCCAGGAGCAATTTCCTTTTTGGGGGACATTGCCATACATGGTATTATGCAGACCAAGTAGGCAAGCCATTCCAAAGCAAAATTGAGTTCCCACCTGACATGGCACCAAGGAGAGCCAGGAGAAGGATGGCTTCTTGCATACTTGACAGTCACAACTGTGTGTACTTCCAGCACATGAGCCACAATCTGAATCCCGTCTCACACTCCAAGTGTATTTCAGATGCCACTCAGCTTCCCCTCCAGGTTTTGTTGCCATGCAAGAAATCAAACAGAGGCTTTAGCAGTAGCCAAGGGAGACTCTAAACACCACAGGACTGTGTGTTCTTTGATAACCTGCTTCTGTGACTGCATGGTACCCAAGAGATCAACTGGCCAGTCTTGGTCAGCTCAGAGTTCACCTTAAAAGTCCACACTCACTGAACATCTCAACTGAGAGCTCCAAAAGAGAAGTCAAAAGAGAAAGCCAAGACCTGGAGATAACAGTAAGAGCTGGACATGCGTACGTAGTCCACCCCCAGTAGTCTCAGTCACCCTGTAGCCAGGCTTGTCATTCCCAGAAACAGGGGCGGGAAGTGAGAGTTTTTCTGATCTCCTGAATCAATGAGCAGGACTCAGACTTGGGAATCAACTGGCACTCATTGTAAAGACAAGATCCGAGAGCTGGGAGCAGACCCGTCCTCATGGGTGACTCGAGGGGGAAGACTGCCCTCTGACTCCTCCCCTCACCACCACCCCTCCAGCTGTTGAAGAAGGCTGTGAAGGAAGATTACTGGAGTTGTGAGGCTTCTGCCCAGTGAGGAGTGATGCAGGTGTTGCCCTTCATGATGTTTTTCTGCTCTATGCAGCCCTGTGCCAGGGCACAAGATGTGGCATATGAACAAACGCGGGCTGGGGTCTAGTCTCCACCGAGAAGGAGCAACAGCAGAGCAGAGAGAGGGCGGCCGAAGAGTAGCCTGTCGCATGGTGCAGTAAAAGCAGTAGTGGATGTAGTGGAAGGCGGCTGGGCTTGCACCATCTCTCCTGTTCCTGTGCCAGCTTGGGGAGAAGAGCCCAGCAGACCAAGGCCAGGGGCAGCAAGGCAGTGAAGAAGGTGGGGAGTTGAGGCAGAACCTCCCAGTCTGGATGAGACCCCACAGGCGCCCTGAAAACTACACAGATGCCCCACAGGTGAACCAGCTTTAGGCACCTGGTATGTGGAGGTCACCAACGAGGGATAGAGGGAGACACTGTAATGGAACCAAACTGGGGTCCGCTCACCTGGTGCAATAAAACCAGATATCCACACCGAGGTTTCTGCAGCAATAGAAAGGAATGCATTTATTTGCAAGGGCACCGAGCAGGAAGGACCAAGCAGCTAATGCTGAAATCCTGACTGATCTCCATGATAGCTTCGGAAACGAATACATGGAGGTGACACATAGGTTTTGGCCTGAAGGAGCGGGATGTCCTGAAGTGGTGGTGGTGGTAAGGAAAATGTGGTTAACGGCCAGATTCAGATTTGCATTTGGTTAAGGAAGAGAAGCTTTGTTTAAAATTTTGAGATCAGTAGAAAAAAGTATTACCTGGCTGGGAATGTGACTCCCTCCTCCCCTTGTCAGGCCTCCAAGTCCAAGCCTGGCCATGATAGCCTTGGTGACCTGCCTGTACACTTCCTGATGGCCTCCAGGAGCCAGAAGGTCTGAAGTAACCAGATGGCCACAAAGAGAAGCAAAATGACTGGTTCCTGCTTCAACTAATTGTTCTCCCCCTGCAATATTCAACCATTGTTCCTGCTCAACCTTATGAAATTTCCCCCCTCAGCATTAGGTTTCTCAAGACCCCCACCCCTGAACTATATAATTTACTGCACCCTCCCCTCTACTTGTAACCGATAACCCCCACCCTATGACCATGCCTGTTGGTAATAGATGACCCCTACCCTTGTGACCACCTCCTCCCATAGATGACCACTTTTAACTGACCATTTGCCCCAACCTATATAACCAGTCCCTATTCCTACGCCCTCACCTAACTCCTTTCTCGGACGTGGCCTGCTTGCCCCCAAGCGCAAAATAAAACGGACTGGTTGCCCACACAAAGCCTGCCTGGTGGTCTCTGCTCGAGCAATGAGCCTACCCCTAAGGAAGAAATTTAGAACAAAAGATGGTGATCAGAATTCAGCCTTCAGTTTCTCTGTATCTGAGTCCAGTGGGGGTTCTTGGTGCGAGGGCGCCTACGTTTCTGAAGGACAACTCCGGGATATGTGTTAAGATGTTGTCTCTAGTTTCTATAGGGAACCAAACAATGCAGGGCTCTAACTTCCTTGGCTATTAACACCTGCTGGCATAAATTACTTACTTACTTCTCAGGCTGGCTGGGTGCCTGCAATTGCTGTTGAAGGAACTCCAAATTTTTCTTTATTTCCATGCTTGGGGCGCTCATCGGGTCCCTAGGAGAGGGTCCCTGCTCCATCTCAACAGCCACAAGGGCAGCTACGTAGCACACCCCTTCTCCTTTCCCTCCTCCTCTTCTGTCCACCCAAGGACAAGATAGAGGAGCAGCTGGCAGCCATAGCACCCCACGCCCATGCCCAAATCTCAGTCTCAGCCCCAGCCACCAGGCTCAGGCCTGGAGAGAATGAGTTTGAGATGGAAGCTTTAAAACGTGGGGGACTAGGAATGTGACCAGAAAGCAAGACACTGAGGAACAGGAAAGGGAATTTTAACAGAGGCCAAGTGAAAACAGTGAATGTTCAAAAAAGGAAAAAATTAAGACAGTGCATGGAAGAAACTAGAACCATCTCAGTTTACATGTTACTGAACAGAGACTGCTCAATCAGCTGTTTAGAGCCCCTTCGAGGCACAGGGACAGGGACACTAAGGCTCAGAGAGGGAGGGGTTTGACCCAGGCCATGCTGCCTGCCAGCGTCCCTTGTGTCCCCTGCGTTCCAATCCCAAGATGGCAAGGCTGCCCTTTTCTTCCTCCACATCCACACATTTGTCAAGCCCCTTCCAGGCTCCAAGTGTCTCCTGCCGGTCCCCTGCCCAGGTTTGTGGCTACTCCCTTGGCTTAAGGTCTTTGCCTCTGGCTTGGGTTATGGCCCCCAGTGCATCCTACAGAAGCTTACGTTAATTTCCCCAAAGGGCAATTTTGGTCATTTACTTTCCTGCTCAAAATAACTAACAGCCTTTCCCTTAGGAAAAGTTGACTTTTCCTGTATAAAGAGTAAAAGAAAGGTAGTAAGATTAGGAAAGTTGGTCCATAGGTCTCTGTTTGAAGCACACAGATGGTAACAAAAAACAAAACAAAATGGAGTTTTGCTGAATGACCTTAGACAATTTACCTAACCTTTCAGAATCTCAGTTCCACTCACTTATATAAATCAGGGAAAATAATTCCTGCTACACAGTATCATCATGAGCAATACACAAGAGAAAGATGTGAAAGAAACTAGCCCATACTATGTATTTTAACAATACTTTTTTTGTTTTTTTTTTTGAGACAGGATCTCACTCTCACTCTGTCTCCTAGGCTGGAGTGCGGTGGTGTGATCACAGCTCATTGCAGCCTCAATCTCCTGGGCTCAAGCAATCCGCCCACCTCAGCCTCTGGAGTAGACCACAGGCGTTCACCACCATACCAGGTTAATTTTTAATTTATTTTTTTTGTAGCGAGGAGGTCTCCCTATATTGCCCAAACTGGTCTCAAACATCTGGGCTCAAGTGATTCTCCTACCTTGGCCTCTCCAAGTGCTGATATTACAGGCATGAACCACACTATTTTTACTAACAGGACCCTGGCAGGGCCTGAAACATAGTAGGTATTCAATATACATTGACCAAATAAAAAGAGAAATAAAAAACAGTTGCCAAGCTACTAATTCTCACCTCTCAGTTTTTCCTGTCATGTGGGTTACTGTAAATAATCCATTTCATTATGTATAATTAAAGTTGAAGTGATGGCTCAGATTAAGTTATGGAAAACGTCAGAATAATTAAACTTTTGAATTAAAGAAACTCACATCTGTTTAATTTTCAGCCTGACTGCACAGCATCTTTCACGTTGCTCTGTTTTTACCAGGGTAGCATGCTTCCCCTTCCTTCCCCTTCCTGGTTCTAGGGAGCAAAATGGTCATCTTTTGGAATTTGTTGTGAGTGTTTTCTCCTGTAATTACAGCTTCTGTTTCCAGCCCCGAGGTTGCTTCTGCCATTGCCACAGGCTGCTGCCCATGTGTCAATTCCCATCTCCCTCCAAAAGCTCGTGGTTCTAGTACCAGACACACAGCTGGGCCGGAATCACACGAGGCTGGGTGGGACTCTGCTGCCCCTGGCTCCCTTGTCCCCTGACTTCCAGCATCTGAGCTGTCCTGGATCCACCAAGGTCTCAGCCAGGTGGGATGAATGGGGCCCTCGGGCAGGGTTGGAGTCTCTAGGGCAGGCCCCCCTCCAGCTTCCCATGAGACTCGAGCCTTCTCCTCCATGCTGTCTGGCTGAGCAGTGATTCAGCCCCTTCATGTATTTCAGGGGACTTCCCTGGGAACTAGCTGCTGTAAGTGTCTGCTTTGCTAGCAAAGGAGTTGTGTTCCAGACATTTTTTGACTTGGAACATGGAACCCAGGTACGCTTACATAATCTATAACGTGTAGTCATGCACTGCATAATGACATTTCCGTCAACCATGAACTTCGTACACAATGGTGGTCCCATAAGATGATAATGAAGTTGAGACATTCCTATAGACTAGTAACGTTCTAGCTGTTCTAACATCATAGTGCAACACGTTACTCATGTGTCTGGGGAGATGCTGGTGGAAACAAACCTACTGCACTGGTAGTTGTGTGAAAATCTAGCACATATGGTTATGTACAGTACATAATACTTATCATGATAATAAATGGCTTTGTTACTGGTGTGTGTGTATTTACTAGTCATCTTAGAGTATACTCCTTCTACTTAGTACAAAAAAATAGGCCAGTCATGGTGGCTCACACCTATAATCCCAGCACGTTGGGAGATTGAGGCGGGCAGATTACCTGAGGTCAGGAGTTCGAGACCAGCCTGGCCAACATGGTGAAACCCCGTCTCTACTAAAAGTACAAAAATTAGCCAGGCATGGTGGCAGGCACCTATAATCCCAGGTACTCAGGAGGCTGAGGCAGGAGAAGCTTGAACGCAGGAGGCAGAGGTTGCAGTGAGCTGAGATTGCGCCACTGTACTCCAGCCTGGGCGACAAGAGCAAGACTCCATCTTAAAAATAAAAATAAAGCTAGCTGTAGAA